CCTCTCTGCACTCCATGGCCGGCACCGCATCCTCTCACGCTTGCTCCGCTCCGCTCCTTCCTTCCATCAGTTCGGATCCGGTGCGCGCGTCCCCAACCCCTTATGGCTCTCACGCCGCACCCGCCACTCCAGCTCCGCGCGCGCCCCCCCGTGGTCGCCGCGGCCCACCAGCGCCATGCGCTCCTCTCACGGCGCCGCACTCGCTCCTGCCGTTGCTGCGCCGGCGCCGACGTGGGTAAGGTGTGGGCGAGGCGGGCGTACCCGTACGACAAGATTGAGCCGAGGTGGCAGGAGCTCTGGGAGGAGCACCCCGGACGCCTCCAGGCCCAAGGGCTACATCCTCGGCATGTTCTCTTACCCAAGGTACCGATCCAAGCGCCTCTCCTCTCCGGCTCCCCGTATGGAATTCTTCATTGAATTGCTCGAGTCGCCTATGAATATGTGGCTACCTCACCACAAATTTGTGTTTCAGTTGTGTATATAAGAATAATGGATGGTTCTGTAGTTTCAGTTTCTCCACCAATGCTCAAATTGTTGGAATTTATCATTTCTCCAGTGTTGTACTAGCCTTGCAATTGCACCCGATGTTGTAATTGAGCTTTAGTCGTGTAGTAGGATATGAGGCTCTAGTTTAGTTTTATCTAGAATATGTAATATTGAAGTATCCTTTGTTATGCGACTGCATAGAGCCTAATATTTACTCTTCTCGGATGCATAAAGTAGTCCCGAAATTGAATCCTAGAGAATGAATGAGTTTGCAACCATTCCTAATTTTTTTTGTTCTTGTCCAATTTGGATTTGGATGCAGCAGGTGCGAGCGTGCGTATCATTTGCAGCCACTGCCAAGCGTCCCAGCTGCCAAGTCCCACACGTCCACTTATGTGCTTGGATGTTGGAACAATTGGCTACATCGATCCGATGTGTACAGCTCCGGTATCGTCCTTCTGGAGTTGCTCAAAGGGATGAAGACCGTCAACAACGATTGCAATTTGCACCAGTTGGTAAGTCATTCACACTAAACTCCCAAGTCTCAGATCTTATTACATCTACCTTTTCATTGCATTGTGCAAGTCACTAATAAGAGTGAGATTGAAGTTGTTTTTTGTCAACCATGTTACGATCTTTCAACATGCATGATGTGTTGCAATGGTTTCTATATACTGTCATGGTATGGTCATTTGACCACCCTGTCTCTATGTGTGTGTAGATAATGTCGAGAGCAGATGACAACGCGGTGATGGAGGCGGTGGACTCGGAGGTGTCGGTGACGTGCACGGACATGGGGCTGGTCCAGAAGGTGTTCCAGCTGGCCCTGCTGTGCACCAAGCAGCACCCCATTGACCGGCCGAGGATGCACGAGGAGGCCCGGGTGCTGCTCTGGCTCATGCCGGCCCCTGCCGTCTAGGTCCCATCCGCATGCCTGCTCCCTCTTCATCTCAGATATTGGATTGAAGTAGGAAAAAACCCTCCTCCATATTGTGTGCTGATGATCTGTATTATGTGTAGAACAATCATGGTGTCTATTTCTGCTTTATGCCCCACGTTTCACTAATAACATGCCCAACTTCCTACTCTGTAGGAAATAAGTACATGATTGTTCATCCTCTTGCATAACAGTTTAAGTTTGTGACCTGATCTTGTGCTTCTAGTAGCTAGTCCAATTTGCGTACTTTTAAGTGTCTTTTGATGTGGTGGTGCCAAACAAAACTCATATGCTTATGCTGAGCTTACTTTTAATCTTGTGAACATGACAATTTAGAGGATGTACTGTAGTTCCACTCATTTTATTCCCTGTGATGAGCTTATTTTTGTATTGTAGCGGCCTTCTTGTTTACTTTGCTGAATCAGGTCTTGTGTACTAATCCTCACTTGCTAGCATTTGGCTTCTCTACGGTAATTAAACCTGATAAATCTGTATAGTTCTTTGAGATACAAATTCCACATTGCATGTTTACGAGGTTCAATTCTAGAGATGTTGCCAAATGAATGTGTCAATGTGTATCTTCTTAGGGGTTGATTTAAACCACATATTATCTTTTGCTGTTCAAACATTGAAATCCTGGTTCATTTTTCAAACATCGAAATGTTGTTGACCCTGTCCTTTTATGCTTAAATGATAAAAATATCACATTTTGCTTGTTCTAACCATTTTGCTTCATAACTTGCAGATGCCCTTCATTCATGTTTTGTCGTGAGGTCCAGGATGAACAAATTCGGAGAAGCATTGGAGCTAGCTATACTGTGATAGCTGTGTTACCTGATGTGAACATTTTTTTATTGTAAAATTGATGTGAACCATGTTTGATTGTAATAATGTGCCAAGTTTGGGTCTTTTTGATTGTATTCATGATGTGAACTATATTTTTCCGGTGCTCTGTTTGAAGCATTTTGTTTTCTCTTTGTTCTGATTTAAATATTGTTATTTATGTATTGGAAAATTGAGATCTGAAGAATATAACAGTGACAAGGGACCCACTTATTAGAACCTGACAACTGGGTCCCATCTCACTAGTGGGCCCATCTTTTGAAAAAAAAATCAGAACATGAGAGGCCCAGCAAAGAAATGGCCCAGAAAAATACATGATCAAAAATACATGAACGAAAAGGCCAAGGCCCAATAATAAAAAAGGCTGCAATGTTGGGCCAGGCCCAAGAAGTCGACCAAAAAACGACAGAAAAAATATAGAAAGGCTGAATTAATGGGCTAGGCCCATGTAGAAAACTGAATTGGACCGGGCTGAATCTTGTGCCACATCAGCTTGCCACGCTGGATGCCTACGTGGCCTGGGTAGGTTGCTAGTGACCAAAACGCCATAGTAGGAATATTTTGGTCGTAAACGTCTTTGACCATTCCAGAAGAAAGGTCGCTATAGTCAGTTTACGACGGCCCGCTTTTGACCTTCTGTTTTTGGTCACAAAAAGGTCATAAATGGAAATTTGTGACCTTTCAGTGACCAATAGTGGTGGTCATAAGTTGACATATTTCTTGTAGTGGTTGGGGGTGACCCGATACGTACCCGATACCCTCCAGAACACTTCCTGTGTCCGAATACCATCGTGCTATATATCAATCTTTACCTCTCGGCCAGTTAGAGACTCCTTGTCAGGTCTGTGATCTCATCTGGGACTCCAAACAACATTTTGTCACCAAATCACATAACTCATATAATACTATATCGCCATTGAACGTTAAGAGTGTGGACCCTACGGGTTCGAGAACTATGTAGACATGACCGAGACACCTCTCCGATCAATAAGCAATAGCGGAACCAGGATGCCCATATTGGCTCCTACATATTCTACGAAGATCTTTATCAGTCGAACCGTTATGACAACATACGTAATTCCCTTTGTCCATCGGTATGTTACTTGCCTGAGATTCGATCGTCGGTATCTTCATACCTAGTTCAATGTCGTTACCGGCAAGCCTCTTTACTCGTTCTATAATACATCACCTCGTGACTAACTCCTTAGTTGTTTTCTTGCAAACTTGTCATGTGTATTACCTAGAGGGCCCAGAGATACCTCTCCGATACTTGGAGTGACAAATCCTAATGTTGATCTATGCCACCCAACAAACACCTTCGAAGATACCTATAGAGCATCTTTATAATCACCCAGTTACGTTGTGACGTTTGATAGCACACAAGGCATTCCTCCGGTATCCGGGAGTTGCATAATCTCATAGTCAAAGCAATATCAATAAAACTAAACAATCAATATGCTATGCTAACAGGTGGGTCTTGTTCATCACATCATTATCCTAATGATGTGATCATGTTCATCAAATGACAACACATGTCTATGGTTAGGAAACTTAACCATCTTTGATTAACGAGCTAGTCTAGTAGAGGCTTACTAGGGACACGGTGTTTTGTCTATGTAACCACCCATGTATCAAGTTTCCAGTTAATACAATTCTAGCATGAATAATAAACATTTATCATGAATAAGGAAATATAAATTAACAACTTTATTATTGCCTCTAGGGTGTATTTCCTTCACTTTCACCTAGGTGCAATAGCCTCACAACTTAGTTCTCCTGTGAGGACATCTACCATGAGAAAACCACGACAGTTGGCACCCACAATAGAGCCAGCACTCGGTGGTGGTGTGTTCTTGGAGGGAGCTCTCCCAGGGATCGAGAAGCTAGCGATCGAACGGATGACCAAGAGCTAGCGTGGAAAGCTCTACATCGACAACACCGGCTGGAGCCCCTAGGGGGACTCAATGGAGTCAGGATATCAGGTCCCCTTTGGCAAGATCCACGCCTTCATCGGCATAATTGGCGGGTCCGTGCCAGAGCCGGATGCCGTCGGCGGCTTCATCGAATCTGCAAGCAAGGTCTGCCCTAGCTGAACCAGTGCTTTCGTCGGCTTCATCACCGGAACCATGCAGGAGTCAGAATCCACCCCGACTCTGTGTCAGGGGGCGATATGTTTGTCTATTCAGAAAATAAGTCATCGGTAGGCGGGAACGACTACGACGAAACTGGGTCTATCTTTCAGCTTTCCGATGAGAGGCTAGGTGGATACTCCCCCGAGGAAGATTACCCGGTCTCCTACGGCCTCGTCATGCATCTGCCTACTTGGCCAGAAACCAGCCTTATTATGAATATCAGGGGAACCTGGTTATAGATGTGCCAAAGCCGTCTTTAAGCCAGAACCCGGTTTTGGTTACACCAGGTTAGCTGTCCGATGCCGTGATGGCTGCAGTCCTGGAATTGCCACGGTAGATGCCCTAGCATGAGTAATTAGGTGTGGATCCATCACAATATAGTTAGCTTGAATGAATTAAATGGAAAAAAGGACACAGAGAGTTTTACCTAGGTTCAGCCCCTCTCAACGAGGTAAAGGCCTACTCCTGCTTTAGGTTGTATTGCTTGGGTTTCGATTACCAGGGTGGGAATACGCTTGACCTAGTTCTCGACTTGTTGTTTCTTGCCTTAACCCACCGCCAGGTCACCCCTTTATATACACATGTTGATGCCCAACAGCTTACAGAGTCCCGTCCGGCTCATACACCGCGTGTCCGGCTCGGTGACCAAATTAAACTTTCCTTAGCATACAAGTTAAACATATGGCAATTTATGCCCGTGGTCCTCAAGTCGCCTTTGGGTCTTGGGCCTTCAATAAGCTTGCTTCATGAACGGCCATCTTCAACATCTTCTTGGGCCCTCTCATTATGAACCACCAGTGGTATGACTCGGCCCCTCCTGGGCGGGTCATACCCAACAGTTATATCCCCAACATTAGGCCCCAGGTTGATGTGAACTTATTCATATCAATCTTCAATACTTGACTTAGAAAAATCCTTCATCGTCAGTCCTTATGAAATCTTATAACCCGCCATGATGTCATCTCACAGAATTGTGCTAACCCGCCATGATGTCATCTCGCATTAATATCACATGAGGCCCAAAACATCTCAATATATCTTCACTTTTAATGAACCTCCTGAAAATAGAGGCATTTGTGCTGTCACATAATCATTTTTCAGCCTCCTCGATTCCCGTGCATTCCATCTATCCACTGCCTTATAAATAGGGACAGGGGTCCTTTTCATTTTTTTCCTTGCCTCCTCGTCTTCATCTTCCTTCTCATAACACCTCGCGCGCCTGAGCTTCGCCGCCATCGACCTCGCGCATTGCCTCAACATCGGCCGCTGCATCAACCTGCACGAACCGGAGCACCATGACGCGCCTTCGCTGTCCATCAACCTCGGTAAGCTCTCCTCTTTATCTCACTGCAGATATCCATTCAGGTTTGCTTCAAGTTCATCGAAGCTCATCTCCGTTCCTCCCTAGATCTTGTAGTTTTTTATCTGAGTATAGTACCAATCTTTTGCGGTAGTAGTTTAGCACTCGGTTTTAATATCTGAACGCCTCCCCTCCATAGGAGACCTCATCTGAGGACATGAACTATTCTGCTGCCGCCAACTTTGTTTAGAATTTTTCTTCATTATTTGAACTGTTGTAGATCCAAAATTATAACACCGATCTGTGAAAACGTTTTGTCCAACACATAGCAAGCCTTCACTCATAGATCTGAAAGCTGATAGATGTTAGGCAGCTTAACTGATAAACCATAACCCGCCAGGTACCATTAGTCCCCTCTTAAGCCACCAATAGATTGCTCTGCATAACTCAACACTATCCTTCGACTTAACGTACTGCATGTTTATAGTTCTTACCTTTGAACCAATGACCGTCTTAACAACATAATCTTAAACCGACAATATTTTCTTTTCAAACCTTCATCAACAATAATGACTAAGACCTTCACTTCATGCAACTGAGTCGCATCCCGGGTTACCGAGGAAGACTTGAACAATTTTGTTCAGACAGGCGTCTTAGCCAAAAAAGATGACATCCACTTGAGGGTCCCAGGCACTGAAAATCCTCCT